ATTTTTCCGCCCCTGACACGTGGTCCGCGGCCATTTTTCCGCCCCTGACACGTGGTCCGCGGCCATTTTTCCGCTCCCGACACGTGGTCCGTGGCCATTTTCCGGCCCTGACACATGGCCATAGGGAGAGGGACTCTCCCTCCAAGCAATAGCCGCCTCCCTGTCCTCCACGCCAGAATGGATTAATGGTAATTACAGTGAACCTTATGGGAAAATTTGCTTCAGGTTGCAACCAATTCAGGGTGCGACCAGAGTCAAGGAACGAATTAAGTTCGTAAACCGAGGTACCACTGTACCTCTTCTGGAGCAATGAAGCTCATCTTGGTTATCACCAGGGCTGCATGAACTTGGCTAAACAAATCAACCTGAGATCAGCTACGCTTCTATGCAATGGAAATATATATTATTGATATTATGCGTAATGTATATCTCATTTTGAAAGTAATGTATACAATTGAGAAGTGTGGATTGCAACAAAATGTTGCAGTGTCGAAAGCTCCTCTTCAAGTTACTCCATTGCATCCCTTCCTGTATTAGTAAATCTGCATCCTAAGGTCATCCCAAGGATGTTCAGCCCTTATTGAACTTTTTCAATAAAAAACGTTGAGCAGTCCAAAGAGCAATCCAAAGACGGTGAAGAAGGACGGACCCACGCGGGCTCAAGTGGCTGATTTTGCAATTGTTCAAACAGTATTTAGCTCCAGTAGAAAGCTAAACAAAACAAATCCAACCTTAGGATCGATTTTCTGCTTAGATATATTAAACAGTTCTGTATAACCAATGCTTTTAATAGTCTTAGCAGGCTAATGTTGGAAAAGCAGAAGTCTTTTCTTACAGAATCACTGCACACAATATCCTAGGGTTGCTCTGGAGAGATAACATTCAGGAACTTGATCTTTCTTAAGCCAAGAGATTTTCAGCATGCCTTTCAAATTCAGGAGGGTTGAAACCAACCTACCCATTTCTGCGGGCCGTGTCTGAGAAGAGCCTTAGCATCTCATGACTTTTTCTCTTCCAGGTGGGCTACACCTATCCCAATTCATACATCAATGCCATTATAGGCATCTCCACCTTCCTCTCCTTCTATGGCTATTTGCTCTTTTACAAGGCCACCAAGCCATCCCTCGAGGGCTACAGCCTGCGCTCCAAGTTTGTCTGCATCATTTTGGTTCTAGTCCTTTGTGGGCTGCAGAGCGGAATCCTGGAAGCGATGGGGGCCGTCGGTGCCATTCCTTGCAGCCCACCTCTTTCACCTGTCACCCGCTCCCAAAGTAAGTCATCTTTACAAGGCACGTGCTTTAGAAGTGGAACGGGTGGACACAGAGATGTCTTTCTCATAATACCGCAGCAAACAACCTGCAGAGACTTTTGCAACTGGCCAATTCAGACTTTCGGCCAGAGTGTTCTGTGCACGGCTGGTTGCAGTGTAGGGTTATTTTTTTTCTTAGTAGTTGCAAAACGGGGAGCCTAGACATGACACATGAGCAAGAAAAAGAGCTTGTGAACAATAGTTGAGTCTGGCTTGTTAGCACAGGAACCGTGAAGCATGACTTCCTTGCCTAAACGGAGGCGCACTCTCTCAGCCACTTTGCTTTGTGCAAGCTTCTGTGTTAGCTTGCCTCGTAACCTGGAGTTGCAGAAGAGGACTCTGGAGGTTCAATTCTGTTTCGTTCCAAAGACTGTGTAGGTGCCTGCCCCGTGATGAACAGTTCAAGAGTGCAGCTGAAGCCTTCAATCTTTCAAAGTTACACTGTGTATATCACCTTTTA